TTTTTCTTCTTTTTCTGTTACTTCTAAAGGATCATAAAACGAGCCGTGTAGAAGGGAGGGAGCGAGTCTCCATGATGACTCAATGAGTTTACAATGGCATAAGCATTACTTAAGGCAAAAAGAATTTGGAGGTCTAGCCTTTCATTTAATATTGGAGCGCCCACTATAGAGAGTTGATCCAAGGGGGATTTTAGATGTTGAGCGTGTGAAGAAACATTAGAAAATGACTCGCTGTGCATGTGAGAACTCTTGTTTTAGATAGAGAGCTCTTCTATGTAAGTTTCATGGTTGAATCACAATCAATCAAGGTGTTCAGAGGATCATTTGAGATGATGTCATAGATCCATTACATAACAACCACATTAAGACATAATCAAAGGTTGAGATTAGTTTATTTGGAAGAGGGAGTTGATGTCACAACATCTATTTTTAGATAAGTGGCATGATCAAAAACTTGATAGACTCTTGCAATGAATTTTAAAGTGTTTAAAATACATATTTATATTGACTCTTTTCATTTATTAACTTAATTTTGATGAAATTGATAATATTTGAGACATTGAGAGTAGAATGAATATGAAGTGTGGAGAGTGTGGAGTAGATTTCTTAGTTGAAGGGGCTGGAAGAATAGTATCGTCATGATGATGATTGACATTAGAATAAGAGAAAAAAAAGATAATTTTTGTAATGTAAAATATCTTTTTTTGTCTTTTAACTTTATTTTTGGGTCTATTTTGGTCTCTTAATTTTTAAAGAGGCCGATTTGATACTTTAATTCTTCAAACATCGCCACAAAGTAATTTCCGTCTATTTTGTTCAATCGACGTTTATTTCTGTACATGTGGCAGTTGAGTCGGCAATTAACACTCATCTTTTTCATTTACACCCTAAGCTTCGTATTCTTCAGGTTCGTTTTCACCTCAAATTGAATCAGGGATTACGAATTGATTGATTCTCATTTGAAATTGCTCATTGAAATCGAAGGTTCTATCAACCATGAATTATGGGCGCTGTTTAAACCTATCGAAATAGAAGAGCTTTGGAAGTTTTGTTTTCAATGTATATACAAGCTCCAATTTGCAGTTGAAACCCATTTTTTCATTGTGGAGACATGTCTGTTCTTTGAGGGCATCAACTGTTATGAATTTTGAAAAACAATTTTGGAGTTGTCCACATTTTAAGATAAGAAAGCTTTTGAAATTTATTTTCTTCGCAGTGTCAATTGATATAAACCATTTGTTTGATTTACACAAGGCTCTACGTAAGTTGGGTGTGATTTTTTTTATTAGATCTATGGAGATGTGGTAGATGAGAAAGACCAATTTATGATGAAGCAAAAATGTAGGTTGTAGAAATTAGTAAAAGAAAATGATGCAGCAAAAATGGAGGTTGAAAATCTTAGGGTTACAAATGAGGAACATAAGCAAAAGTTGGGAGAACTTCAAATTCAAATGAAGAAGATGGTGAACTAGAATTTTTTTTTTTGGAAGATTAAGTTTTGTATTGTTTTCTCTATGTTGGTAGTTAGGATGTTATAAGAATGTGTAATTGTACTAGCTAATCATGTTGTGATAAGTTGCATCTGTTTGTTTCAACTTGTAACATTTGAACCAATTAATGTTTATATCAGTGACTATCAGTTTGAATGACATTAGCGTATCAGTTAACTTTTATAAATTGAATTGTTTATATCAGTTAGTATCAATTTGAATGGTTTATATCAGTTGGAATTGTTTACAAATTCAGTTGAATAACAAAACACATTATACTAGTTGACACTAATTATTTGGTTTATAACACATTATACCAGTTGACACTAATTATTTGGCTTATAACACATCATATCAATTAAAAAAATTTGCTTGATTTACATCAGTTGACACATTATACCAAAACAATTTGTGGTTTTACCCAAAACACATTATACAAAAATAGAGAAAACAATGCACAATTGATTTATACCAAAACAGATTACTAATATGTGGTGTATACCACTAATATTCTGCATTACAACATTGATTAAAAACACATAACATATTTTGCATAAGAACATAGTTTCAAAACACATTGCATAAGGACACAGGTTCAAACTTAAATTGAGTTCAACAGACAACAAACCGACAATTCTAACTTAAACTAAGTTTTCTTCTTTGGTGTGGTTCTCTTTGTTGATGTCGTCCTTCTTGTCGTTGGCTCGACTATGCTCTTGGTTGCACCCAATCTAGTTGTAGGTTCTAGTGGTACAAGTAGCGTTGATGCCTTTCTAACCGTTAGTTTCTTTACCCTTCTATGAGTTGATTATTGAGATGTTTGAGTAGCTGGTTGAGATGCACTATTAACAATCAGTGTCTTTGTCCTTCCATTATTGATTGTTGAGATGCTTGTTAAGTAGATGGTTATTGAAATGCTTTTTGAGTATTTGGTTGTTGAGATTCTTGTTGAGACACTTGTTGAGTAAGTGGTTGTTGACACGCTTGTTGAGATGGATGACTAGCTGTTGTCACCTTATAAGTAAGTTTGTTGTGACCTGACTTCTTGCACCTATTGCACTTGACAATGAAACATGTTATTCTCATTTTGCGATCAGAGCCAACAACACATAAACCATAAACATTAAACACCTAAACCCTAACAACAAAAACCCTAAAAACTACAACAGTTTACAATTGCACAAAGATTTCGTGAGACAAACATGTAATCAACAATTGTGTCTTCGATTTCACCTTTAAATAAGCTTTCGATTTCACCTACTATTTTCCTTTCGTAAATCACCATTGAATCCTCCTTTGTGAATCACCATCAGTTTCTCTCACAGGGTTTATTCGCCTTTCGTGTTATTTCTGAACAAAAGCCTTTCAGTTTCTTTTTAATATAATCTCATATCCAGCTCAACGACACGTTTACGTCACCTGTACCCTAATTTTGACTTTGACTTACGGAGCAAGCCTAAAGGACTAACATGACATTGTTTGAAGATTTAAAGGATCAAATTGAACTCTTTAAAAATTAAGGGAGCAAAAGGACCCAAAGATAAAGTTAAAGTACCAAAGAAGGTATTTTGGCTTTTTTATTTACCTAAAGTTATCTAGTAATATGTATAAAATATTTGTCGTAATATATATTTCTTTCATGCATTGTTTTATATTCTATAATAAAGATTATATAAAAATTGAAGACAAATAGATAATAAGTTGCATCACTTTTTCTTTTTGAATGATAAAATAAATCCTCTTAAGAACTACATTCATAGTCGTAGGAGACACAACATTGCTATGCATGATCCCTTTAACTCTTTATGAAAGATCCAATAATTATGGTGCTAGAAAATCAAAAATGTCAAAGACAAATGGTATGAAAGAATGTTAATTGTCGGAACACAGTTTCTCATCCTTGAGCACTTTACTCAAAGAGGATTTGGCATAAGTGTCGATCTTTTGTCACGTGGGTCAGTCAAGAAATTCACAAATGCCTCTTTCTTCAGAGATAATATGTCATACCATAATATATCAAATAAGACGTCCCTAACAAAGACATGTCATTATATGAAACCAGGAAACTCCCAACAATGAATCATGTGTTCTCCAAATGCATTCAAGCACACTTTGAGCAAACAGGGCAACTCTGATCAATAGAAAATAAAGGAATCATAATTCAATATTTAAGGATAATACGATACTCTACTAGGGACATATGTTGGCTATGTCCATCAATAGGAATAACAAGGAGAAAATCTTGAGCATGTTTTGCTTGCAAACAACCAAAAACTGCTTTCTATCTTGTGGTCATGTCAAACTTTACATCCACATCCTCAACGCTTTTACTAAAAAAGGTACTCAACAAAACATGTTATGCTTTAGAAGGGATGATGCCTTTTCTAGTAAATATGCTAATGTCAAAATCTGGAATTGCAACACTTAGACTATCCAAAGCTCTGTTAAAATAAAGATATACCATATATTCCAGTGTCTCTCAATATATGATCCTATAACATCCAAGATTGGACTCTAAAAGAAACAGAAGCGTTAGAGATAGCCTCTACTGCTAATTACAAAACCAATCCCTCAACTCTAATAGATAAAGAAACCATCATCCTTTGAAGGTCCCCAAAGAAAGGACATTCACCAACCACGATATCTTCAACCTCCATTCACAACTCTCTGTAAAACCAAATACATGTTTTCTCCATATCATTAGGTTGGCAAGTTCTTAGGCCAAAAAAGAGTTTGGTGATTATCCGTGTAAGATTGAAGTATAAGATGCTCACTCTTAGGATCCCTTAGTTATGGGAAGAGATGTAATAACTCAACATCCCTAGCCGCTTTCTTCATGGACAAGCCCTCAATAAAGCCTTCACCTCAACTAATATCCCCACCATGAAACTTCATCCCTAACATCGGCCTCCCAATGTCCGAAAGGAATAACTTTCCATAAAGTTTACTACCATCACACAAAGGGGAAAAGATCTCAATTTTATGAATATTAAATTCGAGACCTAATCCTAAACTGATCTCCCGAATGATGTCAAGAGCTTTAGCCGCCTCATACGAATCCCATATGATGGTATTATTATTAAGATATCAGGCATGAAGAAGGAATTTGTAATTGTCTCTGAATTGATGAATAAGTGGATGTAGCTCAAGAGCAAAAAGGAACAACCCTAACTAATCATCTTGTTGCACTCCACTGGCTGACATAATACGCACATCTATGAGCTATAACCTTGTTGTCTGACCATAAAGAAATTCAACCCACAAGGAAATAGATGGGCATTTCACCCTCACCTATCGGACTAGGGCTAATTCAATCTACCAGGATAAAAACATTCGTGAAATCTACCGCTAGCATAGCCAAAGTGTCATCTCCATGTTGCTTGCTTAACACCTTGTAAGAACTATGCGAAATGACCTCAACGTGCCTAATACCTCGACCCCAAACTGACAGTCATTGAGATATTATGCCACATCTTTACTGACTCCTTTAATTGTAATCTTGGATACCAACTACTTATCAATAGAACTCATAACAATTGGTCGTATCTGAGCACCACATTTTAATAACGACGTCAAGGGTGCGGATGCAGCAAACTCTGTCAAACTCACCAGACATCTCCCTCCAAGCCATAAGTTAATAGCGGGAGTGATTGCATATAAGAGATCTCTAGACACAGTAGAATCTTGTCTACATAGTGCGTCTAATATATGTTGTGCTCGCAAATCATCTCGACCAAATGAAATTCCTTTGAGAAATAATTTAATGCACTTGAAGTTAGTATCAACTTCAGCCACTAGAGAAACTTTAAGAAACGAAGTGATCGACATGGAAGAAGGTGATTTGTACTAGTGTTTAGACTTCAAAATCCTCATTGTCTATGCATTATAAAGGGATACTCTAGATGGCTCCAACACTTTTAAAACCGCTATAAAGTGGTCATATGCAAAGATATTATATATATATATAATTCGAGTTGTGTAATTTAAGTCCAAATTAATTAAGGTTAAGATTTGTTATATTTATTATTTAGTAATAGTTATATATAACGTGATCACTAACACATACGCCTATACCATATATTGATACGGTTTTGAATTTTTTAATGTTAATTTCTGTCTCTAATTTTCATATGAAAACAAAAATTTATACTTATTTGAATGTATTGTGTTAGGGCGTGCATGCATGGTGTTGATTTTAGATGTCCATATAACAAGACAACTGACGGTGGAAGAGAGTAAGCTGAGTTTAATATTGGATGTTGAGAGGGAGTTGCATGACTATGCGGTCACTATCATATCATAATGTAAGTAAAGTTAAAAGTTTATGAATTGTGAATAACTGAATATCTTAGTTATAGGATAAGTGCCCTGTCCCTTTCGCCACGATTGACCCTATCCCCTTGATAAGAGGCAGCAAGCACCTACAGGCTACAGGTAACTATTTACTTTTTCACCTGTGTTAGTTAATGCCTCAAAAAGCATATTCCATCGGGATGAATACTAACTTCTGACCTTAGGATTATTATTCATTCAGTCAGTTGAGTTATAAAAAAGATTATTTGAACCCAAGTAAACTCTTTTAATTTATCAACATTTTAACCAAATTAAAATTATTAATTGGTATAATGTTTCGGAATTTCAAACTCAAAAAAGAAAATTTTCTAAAACTAAAGTATTTATTAAAGAACTGAACTCTTGTACTTTTTTGGATTTTTTAAAAATAATTTTTCAATTTGTTTTTAAAATTTGTTTTTTTCATGTTTAGTAGGTTCAGTTCGGTTGTTTGATTTTAGAGTTGTTTGTGTAATATATGTTCAATTTAATAATTAAACATAACTGTTTGGTTATTTTAAATTCTATTGTCAATTTTTTTTTAATACTCCTACCTAAAATCTCTTTCAAATTAGAGATAGACACATAGTTATATATTCCAACTTAATTTGCTCTTATTTAAATTCATGAATTTTTCGTCACAACATAGTGTTATTTAGCTCTTGGTATTCGAAATTAATTCTGACTCACTCTCTCGCACGCACGCACGCACAGAGAGAGAGAGAGAAAGAGAGAGAGATTGAATATTGCATTGATCTTTGGATGAGAATGCATCTAAGACATTTATAACAGAAAATTTGCAAAACTCGGGCATGTAATCAATTATACCATTTGGTTAACTAATAACAACTGACATGATATTTAAAATGCTTTTAGTGGTAATCAGTTAACCTAAAGTGTTAACCAGTTACAACTTCAAATATTTTTCTTTTCTGCAACTCATAAGTGAAGTTTCCATTGTTGTAACTGGTTACACCGCCGTGTTAACCGGTTATAACACTTGAATTACAAAAGTTACTTCAACCTCTTGAGCACATCATTTGTGACTCCCTTAGTCAGTAAATCAGTCACTTGCTCTTTACTTATGCAATATCCCAATTGTAATATTCTTTCACTAACAAGCTCCCTAAAGTAGGTAAGCCTCATCTCAATATGCTTGCTCCTCCCATGTGTAACTGGGTTTTTATCAAGATTAACTTCGAAAATATTGTCAACCAGGAGTGTGATAGCCTCACCCTCACTGCTGTCCAGCTCCTGCAATAGATTCATAAGCCACACTATTTGACATGCACATAACGAAGCGACGATGTACTCGGCCTCACAAGATGACAATGCTACTACCGGTTCCTTCTTCAAACACCATGAGATTGGTGTTACACCAAACATAAAGATGTATCCAATTGTAGGCTTTCAATCATCTTTATATCTGCACCAATTGGAATCGATAAATTCGAGAAATTACATTTTTTGCCTTTATCTGCCGCGGGAAAGGCGAGAAACTGGGTTGGAACGCCGCTGGGCTCTGGGGCCGGTGGTCGGCCTGGCGTGTTGGTTCTGCGGATGACGGAGATGCAGTCTGGCCGTCTCTCTCGTCGGTCTCCGCTGGGCGTGACGTCTCTGTTTCCTTGCCGCCATTCGCGGCAGCGTTGAGCATGAAGTCGTGCACGATATCGTCGTGGTGTGGGCTAGCCATGATCGTGGAGTGTTGGTGAAACATTGGTTCTCTGCTCGGAGTAACGGGGAAGTTTCCGTCCCCACAGTTGGCGCCACTGATCTGACCTGATCAGAAGGGGATCACGGGCTGGCCACACGCTGTTGGACTGCTACCTGTTCACCGGTGATGAGGAGGAGAAAGGGGGTGTACCTGCAAGACACTCCGATGCCAAAGTAAAGAATTGGGCAGAGTGAAAGAAAATACAAAAAAGGGGTAAGAAATGAATTACCTGACCCTCTTGGGAAAGAGGGTATTTATAGAGACCCCAGCGTTGGGCCAACGGTCACTTGTGTTGGGCTGGATTGCCAGACCCAACCCAGGTGACTGCTAGGGCTTACGTGGTGTAGTGAAGACCAGAACGTGGTCTTCGCCCTAGTTCAACTGTCCCGTGGTCTCCGGAACGTAGGTTTGACCTGCTCTTTCGGAGGTGGACAGTTGGTTGATGACGTGTCCCCGTGGAGGGGAGCACGTAGAGAACGTGTGAAGGACACAATGTCCTGCCCGACAGGAGGGTGGGTTCTGCCCGCGGGAGGCAGGTCTTGCCCGCGGAGGGTAGTGTTCGGTCGAACGGGGAGTCTCCTGCCCGACGCAGTTGGGGCAGGCCTTCCTAGCAGGGAGGCCTTTCTGGCTTGTCGGGGACCTCGTGCTTGACGTGGTATCCGGACTAGACAGGGCCTGGCGGAACATTATTGGGTTGGGCCCGCGTGGTCAGCCCGGGGCCCAGGCCAGAACATAACCTTTTTTTTACACAACAACAACCAAACAACCTCATATATTTCATTCATATAAATTTGAAAAATAAATAATTGAAATTACAAAAATACCTCAATGAAGCAACAACAAAGTTTGTATCTTGAATCTTGCTTGATGAGCTCTTACAATCTTCTAAATATTTTTCTTTAAACAACAAACATCAAAAATTTAAAATTAGAAAATATTAAAATAAAATTAAAAAAATAAAAATAAAAACTAAATAGAAAATAAAAAGGAAGAAAGTAGAGGAGAAATAGAAATTTAAATCATACCTTTGATGGAAGAAAGAATAGCAAAACTGTAAACAGGTGTGGAAATTGGGTGGGTGAGATTGTGGAGGAAAGAAGAGGAGAAACATAAATGAAAATATAAAGAAGCAACGAAGAAGGGTGTGTTATTTTGGAGCTGAAAAAAAATATATATGTCATTTTGCGACGTGGTTACAAGGTCGGAAACCAGCCACGTGTTTACCATGTCGAAAACGTTGCAACGGTAATAAGTGTGGCATACCAAAATTAAATTTTCATTATAGCAAGGGGATTCCCACGTCGGAAATTAGCAACGTGATTCTCAGTCCCACGACGCAAAATCTGTAACGTTCAAGTCTTGGGTCAGACTTGGGTTTCACGCCACAACTGAAATTTGAGAATATTCAAATTTCCTCCACGTGAAAATGTATAGTTAAATTTTTTTTTTCTGTTGCGACATAGAAATCACCTCAATTATTATTTAAAAAAAAATTTGTCTTCACTGTTGGAAATTCACCCCACACCCTATGAAGAATTCCCTTCAATCTTGATCTCAAGATTGATGAACAAACCCACAATATGATAATGATGGTAATAACAAGTAATTATCAAGAACAACAAAAGAGAAGAAGAATAACAAACAAGAAAGAGAAGAATGAGAGAAGAAGTATTTGGAGAGAATGTGTTACCCACAACTGTGGGATTTCTTATTGAACTTTCACTTGCTAACTGCAACTGTGAAATCTGTTCTGTTGTGATGTAGAATACAAAGCAAGGCACCCTATTTATAGTTTTAGGTTTACACTAGTGTTGCACCCCAAAATTTGCCCTCTTTCAAGGCTTGACTCATTTCTTCATTTCTTTCAAATTCAATGACATAAAGGAAATCCATCATGAATTCAAGATTAAAGGCAAGAATATTATAAAGAGAAGTTTTGTGACATTACAAGAATGTCATTTGTTGCAAGATTTTCAACTCTAAGTAATGTTTAGAAATTAATTTATTTCTAATACTTCATTCAAGTCTCTAGTCAAATTCATGTTGTGGTAATGCTACACCAAGTCTACATTATGCTTACAAACATCCAAGAAACATGCAAGGATTAAATCAACATTGGAATGTTTTAGGACCAAGAGTATGCATGTTTAATCATGGCAAAACAGTCCCATGCAAGAGGTGACAAATTTCTTCATGTCACAAGATCACATGTCACAAGACCAAGGGAATAGCACATGATAATGCATCTAAATATTAGAATTTGAAATTCTGTCCAAAAAGTAGTAGCATTGACCACAAGGGTATGTCCAAGCATAAGCCAACAAAAGGTCACAAGACACAAAGTGCTGCAGAAAAAAAGGCCTAGCAATAGTGTAGAAAATACAGCATAGCAACATTCATGGAAATGGAAAGAAAGAGAGTGACATGAAGAAAGTTGCCTTGGACATTTCTAAGTAAGGATTTGAAGTCTTGAAGGAAGAGTAAACCCTAATGTGCTGAGATAAGAGAGGAGAGGGGGCTGCAAACACATTCACTATCATTCACATACACAAGATTGAGAGAGTAAGAGAGAAGAGAAAAACAGAAAATAGTGAGAGCAACACACATTGCAAAGAAAACCAGAAAAGTAGTAAGGGAGAAAACCGAAAAAAGGAGTTCCATAGAAAGACAAGGAACCTTTGAAGAAACAAAACCTTCACAACATAGAGGGAAGAGGAGTGAGGTACATCCAACCAAGACCAAGGAGGACTTGCAAGAAGGATAGGAAGCTCTTGGGTATCCA